GGAATTACAGTGTTTGCTTTTTGGCTTAGGCTAGTAATGGCTGCTGAATATAACTTTTTACATATACAGTAAGAACAACGTGGAACAAAGTGCAATTTTGTTTTTCAGCACAGTTGGAGCCTGAACACTTACAAGAGCCTTTACTTTGTGTGTGTTTACGTAGGCAACTGTGTGATCTGAGCTAATTTTACTTTCACTAATCTAATCTAAGTTGCCTCTAGGACAACACGAGGAAAAGAATTGTCCGTGTTTGATGTTCGAGCTGTTTTCTGCTTTAAAGCATTTTTCGGGGCATGATCCAGCGCTTATTCACTGACCCCCCTTGGAAATACTGGGACAATGACAGAGTGTGGGAGGAGAGGTGTGTGTACAGATAATCTGGGATAACAGTGCCGACGGCAAGCGAGCTGCAATCAACTTCAGCACGCTGCAGACGCGCACACACATGCAGGGTGAGCCTTCTTGTTGAACAGACGCCAGGGAAACCTCATTTTTTTTAACAAAACATTGGTTATCAAAATCCCTAATAACATAAAATAATTACGAATACAGGAGCAGGAGGTGAAATTATTATAAGCGGTGCACCAGGCTTCTCTAAATCTGACCTCCTGCACACACAGAGAGAGCAGTGTGAGGCTGAATTCCAGTCCCTTTCCTCTCTATAAACCCTTTGCTCTTGTGATTCCTCCTGGCTAATCTCATTGGATGTTGAGTTCACAAGAAAAAGCTGCATAATCTCTGACACAACAACAACAACAAAAAGATGCAATAATAGCAGAATTCAAAGGTGTAATTTCAACCAGCGACCCTCAAACTGTTTTTGGTATCCTGCTTTTTTAAATAGTTAACATGAATCAGACCAAACTGGCCACGTAGGAAGACTATTTTTGAATAAACCACTGTGTCTTAAGTCTGTTGCTAGAATATCAGCACAGCCAATTTTTTTAGAGGCATTTGTTTGTTCCCAAAACACGAATGAGTTACGCCTTGTTTGAAGTTCTCTGCATGTTTATCCTCCCACAAAGCTTGTAAATTATTATGCTCAATCTTTGAACTTTTACATTTGTTGTACAGAATGATTCACACTGATCTATGATCTACCAACATGTCATGTAAATGTTTTAAGTGCTAGAGTCGACTGTGTGGTTACAGTGCAAACAGAGCTCACACAGATACGCAGTAGCCGGGAAGGGAGATTCCTGAAAGAGTAATAACCCATTGGTTGTCTCTACTGACCTCCGTGAGTAACACAGCCAGCATGTCCTGCCTCTGGAAGCGGATGGCGAGGTGAACCAGCGTGAAGCCGTCATCAAATGCCGAGGGCCGATTTAAAAGGCGCACCTCATCTGATGTTAGCTGTCGTGCGATGTCACCTCCCGATGACTTGTAGGCCTCCACAGCTGCCAGATCGCCTTCCACAACGCCTTTCAGACAAAGACGGATGAGGAAAAAGGTCACTTTAATAAATGGTTTTAAAATGAAGATTGATACTGAGAATACTGTAGAATAAATTAGGCAGTGTACAGTTTGCACAAAAAAGAACATTTTCCATATAATTAGAAGTCAACACAAGGTGTGTGTGCGACCTTCAAACACAGCATTAACAGTGTAAGGATTAGTAGAAAAGATCTGAGAAGTAAAACAAAGGAGTTTCCTTTTTGTTTGCGTCAGGCCACTTAAATAACAACTTGTTGATCACTGTGCTTAAAATCACACACCAAGGATACAAAAACCACTTATCTTGAGAACAACCTTGTGCAGAGGACATCCTGTCCCCAACCAAAAAGTATAAAATATTAGAGATCAGAATGTGCTTCATCTCTGTCGCAGCTGCAACAGCTTCAAACTCCACCGACTTTGAAGTCAAGGAGAAAAGACGATAGGGGGGTCGCACTGTAATGTGTCAGCGCTGTGTTGAAGGATAGGTTTGATGCAGATGTTTGCTTTTCTTTACCTTTTTTGGCCAAACGCAAATATTACTATCTGCCAGAAGCAATTTATGTCAAACCACCAGCACACAACTGTCTACAGTCTTTGAAGTCAGAATGCTAAGACGCTTATCATTACAGTAATCCATCATTGAAAGCTTCCCCTTGTACGCCCACTGATTAACCGGATGTGTACACGTCTGATGCTCAGGCCTGAACCATATTTGGTCTATTCTGTATTTTAATGTAGGAAGGAAGGAAGAAAAGCTGAGGTGATGAGCATGTTAGTTCCTGTACAATAGTGAACAGTCCTGGGATATTTTTAGTCCAGCTCCTAAGCCGAAGCAATAACACACACACGCACACACACACACACACACACGGGTGGTAAGTGGAGTAAGAATGAAATGTGGATGGTTGAATGATCGAATCAACACGAGAAAAGTTGTCCTGCGTTACTGTGATCAAACCAGCAACACGGTGAGATACAGCCACAGTTATTAGCTGCTGAAGGGAAACAAACTATTGTGACAACTGTGTTACGACAGAATAAAATCAAACCGAACCTCAAAGTGTGAATTAATCTCAACGCTACACAGGTTCACAAAATTTCTCTTTCCATTTCTAGCAAGTCCAGTAAACGCCCGTTTAGTATCCTCTCGCACATCTGACAACATTAAACACCGTTGAGCTTTTGTTCTCACGTCAAAGGACCACACACAATGCTCGGCTGCGTGATCCGTGTGTGAGCGAGACCCAGAGCGAGAGAGACGCGGAGTGGGTGGAAGGACTCGCTGTGCCATGTGGAGCTGGCTGGCGCTGTGAGAGAGGAGGAGAGGAAGGACACAATAGCAGCGCAGTGTGATAGAGAGGGATCACAGCCACTTTCCACAATGCGCTCCATTAGTGTTGGTGTGCCTGTAGCCCTGCAGTCACCCACAGAGCCTTTAGACGACACAAAAGGGCCAAACGTGCACAGAGGCGTACACTTAAAGACCGATGAGACAGAACGGATGGTGCTAAGTGATGCTGGGCTTCACAGAAGTACAGGAGAGCAGTGGTCTCCTTCGCACCTTCATCACAGGAAAATGAACAGCAGCGATCGGACAAACGGTAGTTCTATAGTAGGTCTACGTTTACCTGCAAAACCAGCCACTTCAAATTGAAATCTAAATGCTGGCTAAGTGCGAAAGGTTGACAGAATGATAGTAACAAGCGTGTCCACCACAGTTAGGATTTAAAAGGTAAACCACGCTGCTTACTATATATCACAACAACATCTTCCTCCGCCTCGTCGTTTCGATGTGAGCTTTTTACCGAGACAGTTCACCTTTACTGTGAGGTGGGACTGCTTCACCTGTTTCCAAATCACTTTGGTTCTACAGTGACGTGTTGTTTGTCGCTTTGGATAAAAAAAAGTCAAATGAATCAATGCTTTCGTGTTTCAAGATCCTGACGCTCATTGTGCTCCTGCACTAGAGACAAGTGAAACTATCTCCTCCCCTTGGATTCACTCGTTCACTCTTTAAGAAAACAAGTCTTTAGGGCTGAGTCGGACACATTACTAGTTGTCAACATGGATGCAACTCATATTTGGCAGACAGCTTTTACAGAAGCTCCCATAAAGCAAACAATCGTTGAGGATCCCCCAGCTTACAGAAACACTAATTAATCAAATAAGAAGAATTTACTCCTTTTTTTATGTCCAATATTTTGACATTTTGTAAATCATAAGATATAATTTAAATATAAGTTCCCTGGTATCATGTTGTGCACACTGCAGGAGCAAAGGTCACTGCTGCTGTCCATGACTTCTTACTTCTGATGCATGGGTCAGGCTATTTTTAGTGCAGCAGGTCCCTTTGGAAACTGGAGCATCTACTCTGAGACCGCTGTTTGCAAACACTAACGTCTGTATGTCAGTGACAGGGAAACCTACCTAGCAACACAGGACAGATTCACTTGTCTATTCTCAGCACAAAGAGGCTGTGGAGTCTCTCGATGTCCTGTGAGACTCACTACTCCCTACGTAATTAACACTAAGTGGTTTGTTACATAGTGAGCATTAAATTGGGATATCGAAGAAGCATTAGTGTCGCTTGCACGTGTGGCGTCTCAGAAGCAACGGCGAAACGTTGCATTGTGGGTTGAGTGGAAAAAAACTATGGACATCACATTTTTGTTCCATTGTGGGAAAATTTGAGAAGAAAGAAGTCAGACACTAGAGATGAAACAAATAGTTAATTGATTCATTATTAAATAGGCAACAATTAAGTAATTTATCAAACAAAAATGGCAAATTGTTCTGATTCCAGCTCCTGAAAGAGCAATATTATACTGTAGAGTTATATTGTTTTCTGTGACAGTAAGATGAATATTTTATATATATGCAAATGTCTACTTTCATTCTGGGAAGCTGTCATTTTTAACAGAGGAAATAATAGGGGGATATTTCTCATGAAAATAATCATTAGAGGCAGACCTAAAAGTGATTTAATGAATTTGTGGGCAAAGAGAGATTGTGGACCAAGCTGACGGAGAAGGAGAGCGAAATCACACCCACTTACGTCAGACAACGTCCAGACGAGACCTAGTCCCAAGGGGACAAGCCACACAGACATGAGGGGATTCACCATGTCACGTGCAGTAAGAGACCCGGTGTGAGAGCAGACGCAGACTGACTGCGGTGACGTTTCTCTGACATTCAGACCCGATGATTCCTTTGCTTTGAGGAACGTAGCAGTATGAAAAAGAGTGTAACTATTAATTACTACAAGAGATTCATTGGGATATCAAATGCATACATGGCTGTCAAACCTTTTAGTGTAAAACCGAAGAATTGTCTGTCAGAGAGAGAGAGAGAGAGAGAGGGAAAAGGGACTGGAGTTTGAGTGGGTGTGCAGAACAAACTCTACGTAGCCATGGCAAAGGCAAAAGAAAGAGTGAGATAGTGGTGTGAGAGGAAAAAAAAGGAATCACTAGTTGTTCTTAAAATGTTCGTCCTCCCTCCCACTCCACATTCACCAGTCTGCAGTGTGGGTGGCCCGACACTTTGTGTAGGTTTTACACTACATGAATGCAGGGGATTTCTGAGCATACAGTGCATCAACAAATCACAATCCTCTGGGCTCGGCTTTATGAACTCAACTGCAACCAGTTACCTGGCAGATGGGAAAACCATATTAATTGTTCACACAAATTCTGGGAAATCCTGTTTCAGTCACCCACTTCTCTGCGGGCAGGACTCGATGCTCACCTCATAACACAACAAAACACAAGGGAAACAAGTTGAATACACTTCAGTAAAGCCTTATACTCTTGAAACTCACCGACGCAGGCGTTGAGGAACAGCCAATCAGTCCTTCTCATCCTGTTCTTAATCTGCTTCAGTTTTTTGAAATCCACCTCCAGCTCCTCTTTGATCCCAATCCCAGCCCCTGATGCCAGCTCAATCCTCTGAAAGTCCATGTTCACCTCTGACTCCCGTTTTGAGGTCGGGGGTGACCTCCTCTGACTGCTGCTACAACCCCCCAGCCCACCTAACACATTCCCAACTCCCTGCCCAACAACACCCCTCCTGTTGTCCCGGTCCTGTTCATTAAGTGTTGAGGAAGGCTGTTGGCTCTCAGGCTCCGACGCCAGTTCAATGGGCTCAGCGAGCAGACTGTTCGGCCTGGGGTGGTCGCAAACCACACACTTGAGTGCCTTGGCCCAGTTCTCGTACGTGCAGGCAGTGCAGGTCCAGTGCTGTGCGTGAGTGTTGAGCCTGTTACGGTCGTTATATTCCTCACAGGGGTCTGTAGTGGTGGCCGGGGGAGCAGGGCGGCACCCGGAGCCCGAGGTCTGGGGTGATTCTGTGGGGCTGCGTGGCTGCTGGGTGTGATGTCCTTGATGGGTCGCGTGTCGCCCGTGCTGCTGCTGTTGAGCCTGCAGCCTCTGGCACAGGCACTGGGTGCAACGGATGGCCCGAGGCCAGTTCAGGTAAGTGCACATGTGGCATGACCACTTGCTACTAGTCTCGGGTACGTCAGCAATGCGGACACGAGGTCGGGCACTGGAGTCTGGACAGATGAGTAAGCTGGAGCCCCCCTGGGTCGGGCTGTTGCTGAGGCCTGCGGGGTCCCACTGATGCAGACTGGCGTCCAGAGCAGGGCTGCTCTTGAAGGGCTCCTCGGTAATGATGGCACCCCCGCTGGGCTTCTGAGCGCGGCACATGGTGCACTTGATGGCTGACGGCCAGTTCTCGTATGTGCAGTATTCACATGCCCACTTGGCAACCAGCTCGGTCATCGTCGCGCCGCCACCGAGGGAGGCTTCCTGCCGTTCAGAGGGGTTCTCAGCTCGGCAGACCCACTCTCGAGGAGATCACACAGCAAGCGGGACACTAGGGCATACAAAGAATATATGGCATTTTAGAAAAACACTGATGTGACGCCAAATAAACATATTGAGAAAGAAAGGTGAAAGAAATGTTTCTGCATTCAAACAGCTTTGGGACTTGACTTTCCACACACAACAACAACAACAACAACAACCAAAGTAGGCTTTATTACAGCCACTGTGCCACTGAGCCATTAGGTCATTTACTGTCAAACAAAATCTCTACAGTGCTGCCTGCTGTTGATTTGGCATTTAATTGTAACAACAACAAAAAGTAGGGTATCGATGTTTGGAGACCCACAAAGCAAAGCGCCAGGACTGAGTGCAGCCAGGAGTGAAACACTGAGCCCCCTCGTTTCTAATAAAACTTGAAACTGTCTTTAAACACATACAGTAAGTCAAATGTGCCCTACAACCGAGCTGGGTAACAAGAGACAAGGACATATGAAACCAGACACCCAGCAGGGAGGCGCGTGACCGGTTAGGACACTTACTGATGCACTGAAATTGAATTCGCCCCAAAGCTCATCACCTCACTCACATATGGAGCTGGACGCTGCGAGCTACATGCGGCCCGTGTTTGTATTCTGGACAGTATTTACTGGACCCAAAGTTAAAAAGTTTTAACTCGCCGAGGGGGGCAGCTCGGGGAGGTTGCTCCGTGTTTACACCACGCCTCCAAGTTTACCAACACACCGAGAGATATGCAACACATAGGCGAGATACGAGTCCCCGAGAGCTGCGTGTTTTTCTAGGCAAAGCTACCGAGCACAGTGCCCACGTTTAACACCTACGGTAGTCACGTCCAGCCTGTTTTGTGTTACTTGCATGTCGTGCACAACATGAACACAGTCGGACGGAACAAACAAGCGGAGTGTAACAGTTTAATGAGAAGTCGCATGAGCATGTACAGCTAACATGAGTCGACTATTAAACTATCGCTTGTGAACAGCCCCACGGAGCGAGCTGTTTATCTTACATGTTATATTACATTACATGTTTATCTTACATGACAACCAGCGTTAGGCTCCGTGCGCTCTGTTGCCAGGCTAACCTTAGCTGGATGCTCGCTATCGTTACGGGATTAACTGTGTGTGGACCGCTTGAGAGGCCCCTACTAACTCCACAAGAGGGTCTGCTAACGCTGAAAGCCTTACCTTTGCTTCGCTGTGTTTACACTCCTCGGTTTCCCCCACTGCGGCCAAAACAAGTGGAGCTTCCCGGAGCTTCCCCCCCTGACCAGAGAAACCCACTCCAATCCGAACTCGGGCTGCTCTCACTTGGTCAACACTAACCGCATATTTACTTCTTTGGGGCGCCGTTTAGTTTGCAGTTGAAGGTCCATACATACCGCGGAGCAAGAACCCCCCCCCCAGTCCCGTCCCTCGGCCGTCTCCTTTGACGCGTTAAATCATTTTTATCCTCTTCCCGATTTCCAAAACACCGAGCGGACGGGCTTTAATGGCGGCACAGGGGAAGGGAAGCAACCGAGGCAGGGCTAAAAAAAAAAATACACTACGAGGGGAGAGAGCCGAGAGCTCCGGGCCGTGTTACAGTCAGAGGCAGGATCAGGATTTACCACCTGAATCTGCCAACCAATCTGATTGGTTGATTTTTGTGTATCCCCCAACATTGACCAATCAGATTCTACGTCTCTCGTTCCAACTGTTAAAGGGCTCCGTGGAGGCAAAACAGGCTCGAATGTCACAGTGATGATAACACCGGCAATTCCGTGTAAACATTCACTTCTTCTCGTCGGTGGGCCCCGTTACGTACAGTGGAAAAAAATAATATGTTTGTTTTCAATTTGTGCATCGTAAATTGTTGCATCTCTGGCCGGCAACCACGTGGTATCCCCTCAAAAGGGATAAGGGGATGATGTCATCGTAAAAATACTGCAGCAAGCAGTCTGCAGTAATGCATGACAGCTTGAGCAACAGTTCCCAGCGCTCTGTTGTTATTGTTGTTACACACTCCATAGCAGACATTTAACTAGCGCCATAATTAATACTTTAACAAATAATTTGTTCATCAGATAAAATGTACGCATGGTTGCAACTATTGTTTACAGGAAAGCCCGTCCCCCTCCAATGTGATGTCATTGACACAAGCACCAGTAGGTTTGGCGCATACAAATACAAAATAAACGTAGGAGTGACAGTTTTAGTTTTTAGTCTTTGGAAGAAGTTAAATGTCATTTTAAAAAGGTTTTATGCTCTCCAATTAACCTGCAAATCCCATTTTTTCTAAACAGAAAGAGCATGAATGTAACCATATACATTTTTAAAGCATGCAAAAATCACTTGCACATTTAAAGTCGTACTCTTATTCAACACAATAAGAAAACAAAGGCACATTATATCACATATGCATGTCTCATTTATTATCCCCCAGTTTAAGAACCATGTTCTCTGTGCTCGTCCAAGCAAGTCCTTGGTCTACTTTCATCAAGTACACATATCCAGGTAAAAGCTGAGAAGACCTAAGCTGTGCACTGGACTTTGTGCTTTCAGGGAGGTGTTGATGTTGCAATGGCCCGCTTGGGGAAGGAAGGGAAGGGTCACTCCATACAGTAAGAGTACATGAGTGTGTATTTGTATTATGTTGGAACTTGAAAAAGGTATAGGATCCTAACAATGTTAGCACACTCACGCTTTATGCCAGCGGTCGTCAGCACCAGAGCCCTGCTGGTTTTCATTCTGGCCATCAAGTCAGGGTTACACCTGCGGATGCCAGAAGACTTAAAAAGCAATCATCTAGGGACTGAGGAGCAGGATTACGAGTGAGGACCAACATTGAGAACTGCTGCTCTATACCACCACAACACTCAACTGAGACAAGCTTTTACAGTAAGTGCTGTTTAAATGCTACCCCCCCCCCCTCCCTTGT